AAATAGATTAAATAAAAAATATATTTATATTTAAAAGAATTAGTTCTTAAATATCATAAGCTTTATTTACCTAAAGCAGGAGTAAAGTCGTAATTTATATTAATATTAATTCCGTGATGAATTCAATTGTTAGGTTGCGCGAATAGATAAAATTGGTAACATAAGACACAATTCGTCAAAAGAGAGAAAAGCATTGGCACATAATGATTTTAAAATCAATATTAATATTGTTATGTTTTCTGAAGTTATATTTTTCATATCCAAATTTTAAGAGATTTTAAAACATTTGTATGGTGTTTTACTTTTACATGATCCTGAAATCAAAGAAGTGTCAATTTAAGTTATTTATTGGATATTTAATAATAATAATAAATATATTTTTGCTTCCATTGCAATTTATAATTAATTAACTTTGGACATTACCAAAAATAAAATTTATGTTCTTGTGAGATGAGCGGAGATGAACACAGATGAGCGCAGATGAGCGCAGATGAGCGGAGATGGGCGCAAATGAGCGCAAATGAGCGGAGATGAGCGGAGATGAGCAGAGATGAGTGTAGATGATGGGTACAAAATGAAAAAAAAATTATTTCATGATTATAATCTTCTTTATAATGAAAATTTTTGTTTTTCACTGTCTATTTTTTTATCTTTATAAGTTTAAAAAAAAAAATTTTTCAAAATAGTTATATATTATTAATTATAATAATAATAATAACTTTTGAATTGTTATTTTGGATAAAAAAAAATTTTTTTTCAATAATGCGGAAAATAATTGAGAGTGATGAGGATGGCGCTGGCTGTAGAAGCAGCAAGAATGATATTATTAAAAAAACAAGGTCTGAACCATATCATGGATGGCTGAATGAATTTTACTGGCTCAAATTCAAGAAAACCAATGGTGAGGTGATTATGTTTTGTAAAGTTTGCACATTATCCAACAAAAAAAATATATTAACAGTGGGCAGTAAAAGATATAAACGAGAGGTGCTGTTGAGACACGAAGATACAAAAGACCACATATCAGCAGAAAGGCCCAATCCAAATCAAAAAAAAATAAACGATATGTTTAAAGCATATAAAATGTCTTCACCAGCACCAGCACCACTGTCTTCTTCACCATCTTCACCATCTTCACTGGCTTCACTGGCTTCACTGGCTTCACTGGCTTCACTGGCTTCACCATCTTCACAAGCTTCACCAGCTTCACTGTCTTCACCAGCTTCACCAGCTTCACCATCTTCACCAGCTTCACCATCTTCACTGGCTTCACTGGCTTCACCATCTTCACTGGCTTCATTGGCTTCACTGGCTTCACCATCTTCACTGGCTTCATTGGCTTCACCATCTTCACTGGCTCCACTGGCTCCACCATCTTCACCAGCTTCACTGGCTCCACCAGCTCCACCGACTTCACTGTCTTCACTGGCTTCACCTCCTCCACCCGCTTCACTGTCTTCACCAGCCCCACTGGCTCCATCAGCTTCACTGTCTTCACCAGCTCCACCAGCTCCACTGTCTTCACTGGCTCCACCAGCTCCACCAGCTCCACTGTCTTCACTGGCTCCACCAGCTCCACTGTCTTCACCAGCTTCACCAGCTTCACTGTCTTCACTATCTTCACTGTCTTCACCAGCTTCACTGTCTTCAGCTTCACTAGTACCACCACTTTCTGGAGTATTGTATTGTTTATTTGAACAATGGTACAATTAGTTGTATTATTTATTTTAATATATCATCAATCAATCTTGTCTAACAAAAAAAATTTTTTTGAAAAGTGAAACATTCATAGTATTACTGGTAATTCCTGGGCTAAGAGCAGTAAATGATCTAAATATTTACATAAATGAAACAAACAACCGAAGAATTTCTTTTGAAGGAAAATATCGGAATATCAATAAAAACCAATATGAG